AAATCTCGCTTATCCTGAATTGTGTTCACGTTCATGGTGCTACATCGTAGGACGCGGTATCCTCTGAGAAAGAAATTCAACCAATCCTTAAGTGAATGAGTATACGGTTGTATAATGTGACTTTCAATCTCGTGTTTATTAATGGATGACGGAATGAGGCAAAATGCCGTTTGCGTGGCTTTTACCTGCTAGCATAAATTTGGATTTGTTTGAAACGAGTTTTGTTACACAAAAAATTGTACGTAGTCACAAATTTCGTAATTCGCGCCATCGCCGAATATTATAAAATCACTTAACTTCGTCCACCGTTTCACTGCCAAACAGCTGTACGCTATATGGGGCAGGATATGGGGTGACGTCAGATGGTGCAAGTGGAGTAATATGGTCACGCCACTAAAGAAGACTCTGATACGTAGCCACGTTGCAACAAGATGTTATCCAAAAATAACCGACCGAAAATCTATAACAACAGCACATCTTCAGTGGAGCCTGTAGGACGAATGAGGAGTTTCAAAATCATAACACGTTCAATGACATGCGAGATCGCCGGTTGAATCTTCGTTGACAAAATGAAGGTGATATAATATTTCGCGTGGACTTGCGGGCATCAGCGGACGAACCAAGCATATTGTTTCGCGGCTATCCAGTAAAGAACACCGCCTATTTTTGCAGCCAGAGGCTTCGATAGAAAATGAGATGCTTGATCAGTGCAGCAAGAAAAAATTCGAGGAACTCATTATCCAGGTTAGCTGTGTCCAGGACCGACGTGTAGATGCAGATCCAGAGTTCATGAACCAATCGTTTCAATATAACAACCATTTGTACAAAATTTTAGAAATGTGCGTTATTTATTCGGAGCTCTAAAATCTCACGCAAACATCGCAGATTCTTGAAATTTTTCATCAAGCTAAACCAAGTTATGACGCTGCTAGATTTAGCTGTTAATTGATGTCATTCGCATCCTTGTTGTCAGTTTCTCAAGGGTACATGAAACAATGCTTGATGATGTAAGCAGATGAGAGTGATCCTTGTGAGCTAGCATCAAGTCTTTCATCGTCTAAGTTTATTGTTTTATTACAAGTGCGCACCACACTCAATGTTATCATTTCCCCCTCTTCTCACTGTGTACAACCGTATAACGTGTTCTTTTGTTTTCGCTTTGTGCCATGTCCACTAGGCATGTTTATGACTAGAACGTTAACTAGTATCTGACTTTCGGCAAACGGCCAATCACTAGTCCACATTGATATAGCATGCCCAACACAACACGACCATTGGGCTTCATTTCGTGGCATATATCATCATCATCGTCGTAATCGTCAACATCATATTCTACCTCATCATCATCGTCCGCGACAGCTTGACATCAGTGTTGAACACTAATGCTTCGCCGCTGCACAACCATGATTTACTTGAAATACTTACTGTAAATAGAAGAATGAAGGTGAACAGTGCACGGATTTGGTGCTCGCTCACTAAATTGTTCTCAGTGGCTAAACCTCCAATCATGCGTTCAGACAACCTAGAGAGGGACTCACAACAAGAATGCCAGTAATATGCCATATCCTGCAGCATCTTCAGCTTGATTTGGTTTCAGGAAAGTCTCCTGAAATCTGCGATCGTTTCGAGAGATTTTAGAGCTTAAAATCTTTACCCATTTCTAGACACTTACGCAAAATTTTCAATGTTCGAACGAGAGTTTCACGAACATTTGAATGTGTATCTTCCGAGTCCATCATCAATACAGCTCACCCAAATAATTAGTTCACCGGTGGTTTTCATTTGTGCAATTTTGGCCACTTGTCTGAGAGAGACTCTATTTGTGTACGAGAAATCCTTGTCTTTGGTGGAGGATTTATCCTACTTTGAGTATTATGAGAGCTTGAGTGTTCGTTGCGCTGGGAATCATGTAAATCAATCTGAATTTTCAGTTGTGGACGTCACCTGCTTTAACCTAGATTAGTTCGATATTTTTGGATAAAAATCGGTGACTGCAACGAGATCAGTTAACACAATGCTAGTTAGGAACGAATTCATTTCGTGTTGCATTGGTCACGTGTCGCATTTTCTGTCAGAGTTGTGAGCTGCAGAACTCAGCATTGTTGTGTTACTGGATACCGCGGTAGACTATGGTTGGTTAGTGGGGAACCACCTAAGTCCACTCTAAATTTGCTGTCACTGTCATTTTGTCAATAAAGCGTCTTTGTATGTAAGGTGTTCTGATTTTCAAGGGTATCATCAGCTCTTCGGGCTTCGGTGAAGATGTGCTCCTCCGTCTAAAGACGCGTAGTGTCATGGACAGCGCAACCTCAGAATCTGCAATTTTCCAAGAAAATTATTCCATATCCAGTCAGACCCAACCGATCGAGATGAAGGTGGAACGTTTCCAATTCTTCGTTTCCCTCTCAGTTCTCATTTTAATGAGGCGGCTGCAACCATTCGTAATATTGGATCCTGCCTCTGGAAATGCACTAACCTTCCGGAATCCAGGTCAACGCCGAGGATGTTGCCCCTAATCATGATCCTTGTGGCCTAATCTTCAGTCTCTAGTCTTGACAGCCTCTCAGCCAGGTGGTCGTGTTCTCCCCGCCACAACCCGAAATGTGAAGTCGTACTCAGGTAAGCGAGGTGCCTAGCGCGCGAGCTTTCCCAGAGGATGTTTGATGGTCGCGACCCAGTCTAGCGGTTTGTGATAGGTTTTGTCGTGAAATGTTTGTCCAAGCAGGTATTGCCACCACTTAATCATGGCCCGGACGACCGGTTAACATTCTATCTTGATTTCTGCGCACGGGAACACCGGCTTACTTTTCCACGGTAATCAATTACCACCCCATTGTGGTCGTAATCTTGGAACACTTTGCCTTTAAACGGATTTCTGGAATAAAGAAAATGAAATGTGGCGACATGTGTTCTATGAGAACTTACCGTGTAGGTCGAATAGAAACAAATTCAGTTCGAATTGGGCTCGCTGGCTTCTTCTGGAATAATGTTTCAGGACGATGATTGCATCTTCTGCATCTTCTGCATAATAATCCTTTATGCACAAGTAATTTTGATAACCTTCAATGATCCCCGTTGAGTGCTCAACAAAGAAAATTACAAATTTGGTGCTAATATGTAAATCCTTCGGCAAATTTACACCAGTAGCCGATTTTACGAGCATATCCATATTTCGTGCCCGTGAATGTAATTCGAGTGGACAGGAAGCGAGATAGCTCAATTGGATAGAGCGCGAATATCCTGACCGGAAATTCCGTGATTATAGCCCTACATCTGACTCCCGAGCACTTCTGCCAAGGCTTGGGAAAATGGCACTAATCTAAAATTCTTGGAACCTTCGTGTGTCATGGCAGCCAGGCTCCTTTAAGATGCTACAGCCGAAAGAACGACGCGGCAATAAACAACTTACGATCGTTACCGTCTCCACGCATGAATCAAATTGTAATGCTTTTAGGAGGTCTCCGATCCTCTTCGGATGCACTACTGCTGGCTGATTCTCTAAAACGACATCCAGATATCAATTTGTTTCATTTTAGGCTACGGCAGCGAATACTCAGACGAGTGCACATCAGTATCATCGTCAACGGCATCATCGTCATCATCATCAGAATGTGGTACTTGCATCAGAGTTCTATGGCGTCTACAGTCATGAAAAGGCATCAACCAACAGAAAATCTGATAAGACATCTGAAGTGACATATAAAGCCCCATAATTTATGCAACTCAAATTCAACAATTGTATACATGAGAAATACTGAACAACAATGAGACGTGTTAAATCAAAATAAAAGGCGCGTTGCTATACTCTAATTGTTACCATGTAGCGAAAACTGTACGCGATATTTACTTGCGATTGTTTGCAATATCGTCGTAGGCGAAAGTTATTATATTCTTCGCTGGAACTCTGTTTTTACGCAACAAATGATACGCGTGGAAAACGTCCGACTGAATGAGAACAAAATTGGCACGTGAATTTAGGACAACAGGCAGAGTAGTCAATGGAATCCAAAGTAGGCAAGCAGTTTGTGTAGGATAATCCATACTTCGTGGAGTATCAGTTACCACAACAGCATTTGAATGTATTATCCCGAAAACAGGAAGCATGATTCTACTCTGGAAGGGCTTTTGTGAACCAAAGTTCTCCATTCATCCGTGTCCGAACTACGATCCGCTCACCGAACCTGTACGATATTGGTATCCCTCGACATCGAAAATGCATCCGGATCTGTCGTTTGCTTGTGTTTCATAGAAATAGTCACATTGCGTCGCATAACTTCATGCAACTCATAGACGAGCGGACGAACGATTTTGACGAAAGTTGATTTCTATATGCTTATTCCAAATACATGCTACTTGATCTCACGTGGTATTATAGATTCGTTCGCTCACAGTGCCTAGCGATTCCGGTGCTTTCACCGTAGCAACCAATGTTGTTGGTACGTTTTGTTGAGTTTTCTGAGTCCATTTCATACAACAAGTCGCACCAGGCTGCAGTACTGCGGAGCCCGGGAGCGTTACTCCAATATAATGAAGCTACAAGTCCGGGGAGATGATTAGTGGTGGCTGGAAAACCATCGAATTCCTGTTTTATACAACATTATACCTTATACTCAAACGCCACGATTTTTCGTAAAATAATGCAACAGTAAAAACCTATGGGCTGCGAAAGCCAGATTCCGATTAACATGAATCATACTATGTATATCTGTAACGTTTGAGTTCATTAGGAGCGTAGTATCGACCCCACCCAAAACATAATATCATTTTACCGCAAGGAACTGCTGACGAAGACGAAATGTGTCCATTAGTGTGTTCGTTATTTTGTTCAGCAGACAAGGCTTTCCGAGTGTTTCGGCGGAAATATCACAACCATGGAGAAACCCATGTTAGACATAACTGTTTGGGGACCGTGATCACAAAATTCCACTTTGAAAACCCTTTCTTACGAAATTTAAATGAACTTTTGAGCCTCAAGCCAATAAATCCCAATGGAAACTTACTTGATGTCGATAATTGACCCAGGTGTTGGAACCAGCGACTAGGAAAACCCAGTTCTTTGACGGATTGTTGTTAAATATGGTTGACCAATTGTGGACACCGATGGCTTCCAAACGTGCAACGTGGTCGATGCAGAACAAGAACGCAATTAGTAGGGAACAAGCAGGCATCATATTGAGGCTTACTTGAAGCTTCATGTGCCTGGAATTTTATACCGTGCGTCTCCTGTGAATCGAACTTTGCCTCACAAATATATGGCAATAATGTGAAAAAAGGCATCCACCAAAAATCAAATAGTTCTGCGGTACAAAGTTTATGATAATCAGGGTATGATCGATCATTGAAATCCGCCAATGGAACATACGAAAACAAGCCACCATTCTGGACCTCGCTCGAAAAAACAAAAACGTACTTTTCAAGTACATGAGACATGGCCGCAGAAACAAGCCATCCGCGCTTCAGGCAGTACTGAGCAGCACCCTGAGTCTACAACCTTGTTTTCACATATTTGCTGGCTTGATGAGCAACTTTAAAAATCCTCTGGCCCACGGGGACATTAATGTGAATTTTCGTATCAAAACGTTCTAGTGAAAAGATGTTTCCCAGTTGCAACTGTCCCAACCTCTTCAGGCTATCAGTATCAGGAAGTAGGCTTCCTGTGGAGTAATTTATCACCAAATGACAACTGACCGGTGCCAGACTATTGGACAGATAGGCACAACACTCTCATCCATCGTAATTAGAAAAACTGAACGTCAACCCTCACTTAAACGTGTCTTACTGAACGTTCCTGGATATTCATTGAGTGTTGATAAAATCCAAGTAAATAGTACAAAGCGAGTCCATGAATTTCGCAAAGATTTTCCTTTTCAAGCGAATTTACAAGAGAACATATTACACCCATGCATGTCCCATTTGTAGTATCACCGTTACGAACATCCATCTTTAAATTTTCATCGCATGCCATCGCTTCTCATTTACATCCGCCAGGGGGTATACGGCAACATGTCTAGACAGCCGCCATTTCGGTGTGACATACGGCCTACGAATCTGCGTCTTATTTACTCTTTTCGATCCCCGGCCATCTTGTATCGTATAGAAGTTCCCCAGGCCGTCGGTAGCGACAAACGGACCAAGATATTGACTGCCTAGCTTTCGCGACCGTAGTCCACTCCTTACAGGATTCTGGTGATCCCTCTGTTCGAACTTCGTTCCCATGAGGAATGTTCAAGCCTTTCTACTTGCCGTTTTCTGCCTAGTATTTTCCAGAACGGTGGTCAAGTTTTCTTGAGGTCTCCTCCATTCTTGCTCTAGCTGCATCGGAGACAAACCTATTGCCGGCCACTAGCCAATTTCAGTGGCATCACCGTTAAAAACCTTCACCCCTCAAAGTTCGTTTCCATGCCACGGATTTCCATTTACCTCGGTCAGGACGGCTTCTGCAGCGGTGTCACCGGAAAAGGACCCGAGAAGTACACGGACCACAATTCGCCGCTTTCTGGGACAGCAATATTTTCCTTGGGGTGGATTGCCCCTGTTGAGTCCCCTTCCATCAGTTGGCATCGCCAACATGAACCCGAATAATCCATCACCTTACTTCTCAAACCGGGACAGCAGGCGGTCTGACAAAGTATACGCCGCTTCATTGCATTCGACGATAAGCTTCCGTCTCAAAACGCTAGGCTTCATGGGTAGCACAACATCCAAATCACTGGCGTTGCAGTAAATATGCCAGCTTCATTCGGACTCACCCAGTCAAAGTGATTCTGGAGCGTTTCCACTTCCTTGACTCTCCCTTCGTTCTCAATGCTGCTTTCATCTAACAAAGCGGTTGCAACCATTTGTAAAACAGGATCGTGCCGTTAGAAATGCATAAAGATTCCGGGATCCAGTTCGACGACGAAATCATTGCCGCCAATCATGATCCTGAAGACCTCATCTTCAAACTCTGCTCTTGACAGGCAATCAGACCAATTGTTCGCTTTCCCTGGCACGTGCTGCGTTGTTAGTTGCACGCTTGCATTCGGATTCCCAATGTTCTTTTGGCAGTGGGCCAACTTCTCCGTGACCCACCTTGTAACCCAACGGTGTCACAGACCTACGCGCCAGCTGCGTCTCGGCTTCATTTATCCACAAAGCAAACTCACAGTAGCGCCTATATAACCGTCGTGGTTGATTGCGCCATACCTTTCCACCAGGGCGTTCGGCCGGCTTGTTGAACTCCAGTGCAACGAATTCCCTCGCCGAGGCCCAGTCCATCATCCAAGAACCTCTTCTAGCAGCATACGGTGTCGCCTTCTTCCGACCCCATGAGGACGATCTTCATCGTCGCGAACTTACCCCAGTGGGTCTCACCAACTTAAAGGAAGAATGCCTTCCCTGCGGAGTTATTTATTACAAAAACTCCAACTGCCCAGGTACAGACTATTGGGGAGAAAGGCCAATCTCTCATGCGCAACTTACTTAGAATAAATGAACATCCATCTTCACGAAAAAGCGTCATGCTGAACGTTTCTGGAGATTCATTGAGTGTTTCGCAGGGTTAAGCAAATGGAACAAAGCGAGTCCACAAATTCCACAAAGAACTCATATTTTAGGCGAATTTACAGGAAGAGAACATATAACTTCCATGCCTGCCCCTTTTGTAGTATAACCGTTACATAAATAATCCATGAGTACATCAGTGAAAGAATGGTTTTATAAGATGATTTTCTTTTGATAAATCGTCATTCGAGTAACCTGTTAACAACATGTGACCATGTGATTTGGTTTCCGTGATTGAAGTATGTTTGGCGTTATATCCACTCTAACTGAGAGTTAATCGCCCTACTGATCAGCAGGTGTCTGCCCAAATTTTACCTCGATGTTCCGTAGGCTAATTAAGGAACGACAACCAGAATGATCTAATCGAGGGTTTCCTCTAATAAAATGCAACAGATCATTCAAATTACAGCTTTGAAACTTTTCGCATCCGTACTAATAAGTGGGCAAAATAGGTTCCCTTGAAAGCTTCAGCACATCAGAAGTCTCGGCATGCTTTACATCCCCTGATTCGATACACCATACCGTCGAGTATGAACTGGGTCTCGGAGATCCCATCTTCCGGATTTCAGCAACAAGTTCACTTCGGGCATTTTTAAGAATGTACCAGCATAGTACGAGTTATATTAGTAAAAATGTCGGTAACCACGTTATACTTAGCCCAATAACTCACTCGTTAGCTGGATATTATATCACAAGCGGAGGAAATTATCGCAGAACAGTAGTTACAATTACCACCAAATGACCTATTGATTTGCCACCAGAAATTCTGGGTAGTAGTTCGTGCATTGTTGAGCCGGTGGTCATCCGGATGCGCCGTGAGGTGGAATTCCATTTTAACCTCAGGAAATCCTGTGAATTCCTTGCTGCTCAGCTGGACTGTCCTAGTGTTGTTCACACACATCGGTCAGGAGTAAACCTTTTTTTACTGTTTACTCGATGGATTTAGGTCGAACATAGTTCGCACTTGCATTTCAGACCCGCAAGTAAACCGCTCTCAATATAAGCTTTTTTCTGCCGAAGCTAGTGCGTCCCTCATTTTGGACGCGCCTATCCAAACACCCAGAGAAATGAAGAATGACAGGATTGCTCAGCCTGACAGTTAGTTTACAGCCTTTTCATCTTCATCGGCGTAGGGAGCATTATCACCGCGGAAGGCGAATATTTACTGAAAACTTTGCAATTCAACTTTTTGGCTTGATTGCCAGATCAGCAACTAGATGACCAATAACCTGTAAGGCCACACGTGTTGTCACTGTCTCGGAATTTTTTCAGTGCTTGTACCGGTCAAATAAGTTGCATTCCACAGGTGCCCTCTACAAATGCTTTGAAAGGCTTCAATTTGCGCACCGGTATTCACTTAAGTTCACCTGTCTGACCCTCACAGAGCTACAATTGAACATTATCTGCTGATATTCAAAGTGGCAAAGTAGCAGTTTAATATTAGGAACATAATATTTCAGCGGCAGCACCGTTTTGGTACGCAGCCATCATATTGCCTAAGGGAAGCATGAGTGCTGAGCAATCGCCGGGCAGCCCAAGCCTGGACAGGTTAGTCGTAATGCCGAGGCTGGATTCGAAACACGATCAGTGATTTCTGGACATAAGCACTGAAATTTCCTGAGTTCCCAAGCCAAATTGAAGGAAGGATGTTTCTACGGCGGAGCCGTAGATTACCTTTTCCTTTGAGAGAGAGAGAGTGATAAAAAAAACTCCAGTTCCATCGGTTACCTACCATATCTTGAAGAGTTTTAAACTTCGGTTGTTCTAGAACAACAATCGTAAACATCTATGACAGTTCCGAGATGTTTAAGGTTTCAGGAAAACACTGTGAATGTTCATCACACAAAAGTTTTCTATGTTCAAACCAAGGTCTCACGAGATCTCGGATGTGTAACTGCGCGTCGGCGTGGTTACTGCTCCATCAAGTGTCGGGTGTTTGTAAGTATTTATTCGCCTAATTTTTGCCACCTGTCCGGAAGAGACTGCAAGTTTATACGAGCAGGCCTTGAATATATACATCAACTTAATCTTCTGAAAATTTGATAGGAGCCTGTGTTTCTTTTGCGGGGCATCGAAACATCAAATGAATCATTGTAAACCACTTACTATGATAGATTAGGTGAACAAGTGGATCAATTTGGGTATTCTGTATCGCAGGTCATCTAGTTTCCGAAAGTTTCCGTAACTACATCATTGAATGCGGCGAGATAATTTAGCGCAATGCCTTTTATGGGATATTTTATTCATGTAGCATTGGGTCAGTAACGCACCGCTGAATACGTGTGGCAGATACGTTTGCAAAACATCATCTTGCAACGTGGCAACGCAATGAAAACAAGCTTATTTGTGAAAACACACTGCTCATTCGTACGTGTGACAACAAGTGGATCAATTTGGGTATTCTGTATCGCAGGTCATCTAGTTTCCGAAAGTTTCCGTAACTACATCATTGAATGCGGCGAGATAATTTAGCGCAATGCCTTTTATGGGATATTTTATTCATGTAGCATTGGGTCAGTAACGCACCGCTGAATACGTGTGGCAGATACGTTTGCAAAACATCATCTTGCAACGTGGCAACGCAATGAAAACAAGCATATTTGTGAAAACACACTGCTCATTCGTGTGTGTGACTCCCCTTAAATTGGCGTGAGCTT